TAGCAGATGAAATGACCACAGCAACCGACCTTTGGTTTCATCTAGATATTTTAACCCACATCTCAATCCTATAGCTTGATTTCCATCTTAAGAGATGCAGGACTGTAACTTTCATAATGCTGTTGTGAGCTTGCAGGGTTAGCCTGCGTGGTGCCCAAGTCTCTTCTAATTCCTGGGGTTCTGGATCCAGCAAGGGTTGAAACCTTTGTTGAACTAGGCGGGCAAGTTTCTTGGCGAGTTAGTGGCTACTACGAAGTACCAAACAAAGAACCGCAACAAGTGTCCACAAAACACTCTCTTGTTTTTAGCTATGAACATGGTCAAAAGGACCTGTTGATGGCATTTTACCATTGTACTGTTGAGAGTGTACTAACTTATGGTCCGTGTGTGTGGTTTGGGAGCTGCACGCTCAGGGGGAAAACAATGCTGCTCAGGGTTGTAAAGACTGCGGAGAAAATAACTGGGTGCACTCTTCCCACCTTGGATCAAATCTATGCTTCCTGGTGCTATAAGAAAGCTGCAGAGATAGTGCAGGATAGTACGCACCCCGGAAATGATCTCTTTCAGCTTCTGGAAGAAGGTACAGGGTTATAAAGACTAGGACTAGCCGCCTGAGAAACAGTTTCTATCCAAATGCGATTTTGGTTTTAAACGCAGTGTAAGGAGTCTCTATGGGAGTATATTGTATTTAAAAATGGGGTATCAGAGTTTTCAGGGGGTTAACCAGGCTGGGATAGCTGGGATAGCAGGCTTGTTGGTTTTTGAATGTCTTATGTAGATTTTCAGTTTCGTTGTTCTGTACGGGACAATGACAATAAAGATTATCGTAAAGGAGGCTCATCCAAGAGCAGACCTCACTGTGAAATCTTTGTGCCCCCCCTCTTAAAATGACCTTTCCGCTACTGGAAGAAATATAAAATGGCAGCCTAGCCCTGCGTAAGATGGAGCGAGTGAAAGGGGCAAAAGGCATGACTTGTGAGGCATGGTATTTCCATGAGCTCTTTCACCCTCTGCCAATGACAAGGGCGCATTCATTCCAGGCACCCTAACTCACGCCACTTCAATTTCCTTCAGCCAACATGAAGGCCAGGGTGTGGTGGCTGGGACACCGCAGGGAGGAGGCAAACGTGCGGAACATCTTCCTCTTTGGTAGCAAGGCTGCCTGAAGTGTGCCAGCCCTCAGCCAAAACAAATACACCCATCGTGACTGATAGCCTCTGCAAAATTGCTAGTTGATTTCTAAACTGTGCAGGGTGTGTGCAACATGAACAGAAAGGAGGTCTTTTGCTAATATATCCCCCCCCCCCGTGCCTCCTCTCCTATTTATTTTTTATTTACCTGTATTATTTTAGTTAACGAAGGGCAAGTTGCTTGAAAGAAAACTCCATAAAAATATGTTAGGAATTTGGCTAATTATCCCTCTTGTCCAATAGCCCATATCTAGCAATGGCCAGAAATGGATGCTTCAGATATTTTAATGTATATCATTCTCTTCAAATTGTTCCCTGTGAGTTCTTATGAGGGAAGCAATGAGTGTGTTCACATGTCGCACTAAGCCATGGTTAATCATTCACATATCGGGTTGTGCCTTATATCCTGCGCTGGCAAGCGTCCCCATGTCTTCTAGTATTCTTTTCAGTGGCATCATTTTTATTACATTATGACCTTAAAGAGTTTCACTGACAAAAATATCTAGATAGGTCAACCTGCCATGGCAAAGTTTACAATCCAAGGAGGGAAAGTTGAGGTGCCTCTTACTTGTAAAAAATGAAAGCAGGAAATACCGCATTTTTTGCTCTATAAGAGTCACTTTTCCCCTCCTAAAAAGTAAGGGGAAATGTGTGTGCGTCTTATGGAGCGAATGCAGGCTGCGCAGCTATCCCAGAAGCCAGAACAGCAAGAGGGATTGCTGCTTTCACTGCGCAGCGATCCCTCTTGTTGTTCTGGCTTCTGAGATTCAGAATATTTTTTTTCTTGTTTTCCTCCTCCAAAAACTAGGTGCGTCTTGTGGTCTGGTGCATCTTATAGAGCGAAAAATACGGTAATAAAAATGTGAAGTTTTGAAGACAATTCATATTCTCAGCTTTAAAACTCTCTGCTCAGAAAAGGTGGACACAGAACCACAGAAAGGGAAGCATTTGTAAGTCCTACGGATTTAAATGAAAGGTGCAAGTACGTCAGTAATGATGTTTGAGAACATAAAAAGAACCATGTTGGAGCAAAACAATGGGCCATCTCAAGTCCGGCATCCTATTCTCACAGTAGCCAACCAGATACCTGTGAGAAGCAGGATTCGAACACAAAATCACTCTCCTCTGAAAAATTGCCAAAGCTGTGGCCTTCCAGATGCTCTCCCCCTCCCACAATATTTTGCAGTCTGAGCAGCAGACTCAAGACATTTGCTGAGCCCATTGTGTGGCAGTGCAGGCTGATGGGCTGCTTTCATCCTGGTGGGTCATAGGTTATACAGACCAGTCTTTTGAGGGAGCTTGTGAGCTGGAAATCACATTGGAGAAGGGGAATGACACTTTGATGTCTTTGTTGTGAAGGGATTCTGTTCGGAGTAGCATGGGATTGAGGCTAGCATACAGTAGAGCAATTGTGAAGATAAAACAAACCAGCAACCACCACAAAAATCCCTTTTGATTCCAGCTTCTATACCGCTATATCCAGAGGTTGGTTATCCCTGCTGTGAGGCACTGAGGACTCTGGCAGTGCTCTTCCTGCCCTTGCAACAGCTATTTCTAAAACCTAATTCCAAAATGTACATCCCACATCCCCTTAACCTACAGTGGGAACCTTGAAGTGGCTAAATCACATACCCTACAAGTGTCCTGATTTCCCAGGGACAGTCCCGGAATTACAGAAGCTGTCCCGGTTTCTGACTGGATCCTGGACTGTCCCGCTTGTAGGATGTGCCTACATTCATCAGAGAAATGTTGGAGGGGATAGAATAGGATATCCCTCTTTTTATTGGAGAAATTTTGGAGAGGATAAAATTAGAGTACCTTTGAGGAAGTTCCCTTTTAAATCTGTTTTGCTAGACATCAGTAAAACAGCCACCTCTATTGCAAGATCCAGACGTAAAAGGGTAAAGGTAAAGGACCCCTGGACAGTTAAGTCCAGTCAAAAGCGACTATGGGGTTGTGGCGCTTATCTCGCTTTCAGGCCAAGGGAGCCGGCGTTTCTCCACAGACAGCTTTCCGGGTCATGTGGCCAGCATGACTAAACCGCTTCTAGGGCAACAGAAACACCGTGATGGAAACCAGAGCGCACAGAAACGCTGTTTACCTTCCCACCGCAGCAGTACCTATTTATCTTCTTGCACTGGTGTGCTTTCAAACTGCTAGGTAGGCAGGAGCTGGGACAGAGCAACAGGAGCTCACCCTGTTGTGCAGATTTGAACTGCCAACCTTCTGATGTGACAGATTTTAAAGAGCACATTTGGAAATAGCCCTCTGTCTGAGGGTTGACCAGAAACATTTTACTCCTTCAAAGGACCAGCAAACCTTTCATATATAGAAGCAGACTGAGCTGGTTGACAGTTCACTTCCAAGCCCAATTCAAAGGGCACTTGTTGCCATTTACAACCCGATATAACTTAGCCTCCAAATATCCACAAAGCTGCCTCCTTCCCTAGAGACCCTCAGGTGTTAAGATTGGCAGAGGGGCTTCTTGGTGGTTCCATAGCCCTTGGAGGTTTGGGGAGTGGCAATCCAGGAGAGGGCAGCATTTTCTGTGGCAGTCCCTTAAGCTGTGGAATTCCCTCTCCAATGCACCTAGCATTGTTACTGTATAGGCTTTGGTGTCAGCCAATGGTGCACCTCCTTACTCTGATCTCCGACACCTGTGTTAGCACCCACCTTATCTTTCCGAATGTAAATTGATTAACCGATTTTAGTACAGTAATACTGTTCGGATATTTCCGTTCCACCTTAAAAGGGAGCAGGCTGTGAGTCACAGAGTCTGCGTATTTCCTGTTCACAGGATGTTTATGTTTTCTGTTGCTTTCGTTTCTCTCTCTGTGTCGTAGACACTAAAGCAGACAGTCATGTTTTTCTGTGTTCTGATCAACGCTGAATAAACTTGTAAATAATGCTCTCCTGAGTGCAACTTTTGGCTGTGCATTATCTGCTGATAGAGTGTGCATGAGCTCTGGAATGTGGCAAGATATTTTCTAGAAACTCATGTCGCTGCGTGCCTACGGGAGGTCGATGGATCGTCCGGCAGACGGCTTGGGGGCCTTGATGGACTTTATCTCCCTGGCAGTATCCCAACAACACCTCCACGAACATCCTCCTTGTCTAGCGTCCATTCCGGCGAATGTCTATGGCAAACCCAGAAGTACCGGAATGGGTTACTTCTGGGTTTGCCGCTTGCACATGCGCAGAAGCCCAAATTGTTCTGCGCACATGCGCAGATGTGGCACTTTCCCCTGTGTCCTTTTCGGCTAGCGGCTGGGTTTCTGGAACGGATCCTGGCCGCAAAACGAGGCATGACTGTAATTTTATTATTACATTGTTGTAACATTGCAGGTTTGACTTAGTGCATGGCCTCTGGTTTATGTCCTCTAGATGTTAACCGATAATAAACCAGGGTTGCAGCTCATGGTTTGCCCTGAGCGAGACACACCTCAAACCTGGATTCAGACTCAAACCAAGGCTTAGCTGACAACCGCAATCTCCTCTCCACAAACCTACACTATTGATGCCAAACCATAGTTCGACTTAGCATTACAGACACACCTGATCCAAGTGTGGTTTAGTCAGTCAACAAAGTTTCGGGCTTGCCTTGCACAAAATGTTTTCAGGCTGCTTTTGGCGAAGACCGTCTCAGCCCAGCCTATTTCATAATGGAACACAAAACAACCCCCATATACCACCTTTAAAAGGAAGCAGGAATACAACACTTTTTTCTTTTTTACAAAAAAGAAGAAATCACGTAAGTTTATTTTTTTCACTTCAAGCTTATAAAAAACTTGTTAGATTCAAAAAAAGTTAGACTCTTTATACATATGTACAAAAACACACATCTGGAAAAACAATAAATAGGGAGGGGTAGAAGTTTTACAAAACCCATTATATACACAGTAAACTGCACAAGGCTTCAGCGCCACTGAATAAATATGTGGCACCCGTATCACAGCTAAGTGGCCAAAGGCTTCAGTTCTTTGTGACCAAGAAAACATCTTGACTTTGGTTGGGGCAGGACTAGAGAACAACTGAAAAGTGCTCAGAGAAAAGCATTTTTTTTAAAACAGCAGCTGTTCCCCTTGTCCAGAAGGCTCTTATACCAACCAACATTAGCTTTCCAGTGCACAACAGTGTGCTTCCAACTGGGTAATTCTGTAGTAGCATATTTGTACATAACATTTCACAAACTTTGTTATGGCCAAGGCACTTTTTTGCAACTGGAGGTACACTTCACTCATTTTCAAATACACGTGTGTGTGTGTGTGTGTGTGTGTGTGTGTGTGTGTGCGTAGGGCTGCCATATGTCCAGATTTTCCCGGATCTTATTGGGATTTCAAAGGCGGAATTAACATCTGGGAGGAATTTCCGAAAGGCGGCGTTTTGTCGTGGATCTTGGGCAAGTCAATCGACAAAAAAGCTCAACAACTTTCGAGGTGTCCTGGTTTTTACTTTTTGAAATATGGCAACCCTACATGTGTGTGTTTGAAAATGTGCATGACTGAATCTCGCAATCATACCTAATTGATCAGCCAGCTTGCGTGTAGCTGACTGGGGAGGAGGCAACCATTGTGCTAAGTCACAGAGATGTAGTGAGTCACCTTGTTTGTTGGGTGCATGCTTTGGGTGGGTACTTTGCCGTAGCCTCTGTGGTTATTATTGAATCAATCTCTCCCAGCATCCTTGCAGTTCTGTTAACAGTCTGCAGCTTGGGGATGGCTGAGTTTAAAAGGACATGACCTAAAAAAGCATGAAGCTGGCCGCAAGTTGAAGAATTGCCTATTCTTTTGTAACAGCGAGCTCATTCTCCAAGGACTGATCCATACATGGGCCAAAGCAGTGAGATTAACAACAGGCAGGGAGATTATCGAGGCACAGGGCTTCAAGACCCAATAAGGCTGGAGCATGCCCAGTGACAACAGAATGTTGAGCATCTTTTGAGGACAGAATAGAAAACCAAAGAGGGGTTATGGAATGGAGTAACCTGAAGGCGGGGATGGCTGGAATCCTTACAGGGGTACACACAACAACATTTTGCTGTAATGCATTTGTTGCATCACAAAACCAAAGCTTGTTTAGAATGCTAGTTTGTTTTGAAATACATATATATATATATATATATATATATATATATATATATATATGCATTTCAGGGACATCTTTTTTTAGCGTGTGAGTGCAGGGTGAAGTGATTAAAGAGAAGTTATCTGGGGAATTTTTGTACTCAAATGGAACGGAGGTAGTTGTAATCCCGTCCCCCTCTCTTTCCTTGGTAAATGTAGATACCTAAGCACTATTCACTCGGTGGTTCAGGTACTCAAGAAGCTGGCTCATACTTTCAAACTCCTCTAATTGTGCAAGCTGGAGGGGGGGGGATGACAGCCACCATCACAGTGATAAGTATTTGCTTCCTGTATGCACAATGTTTTCCCATGTGGTAGTGTAGACAATCACCTGGAGAAATTCAAGTCCCTCAACAATGCATGAAATTTTTAAGATCAGCTTGGGTGCTTCCCTCTCAACAAAACACCACACAATAGTAAAAACTATGGCTGAGAATCAACCCACAGTGTCTGTCACATTAACGTTTCAACTTCCTTACACGCTAGGCAGGGCCAATCTGAATATTCAGGAAAGCCACAAGGCACAACATTCCTGCCATTTTACCATTTCACACTGCATGTGTGTGTAAGTGGGAAGATACGTCTGAATATCTGCCCCACATATAAATCCTCCTGCATGTTGAAAACTAGCTTGCCACTCGGTACAGATGTGCTAGAAACAGGTCTTCCAGCCCTTATAGTTTTGAACAAACAGGCGGATTTTGATTTGAGGAAAGGAGACGAAATGTGAGCCCCAATTCCTGCAGTCTGAAATAATACAGTCTCCAAGACTCTTTGCCACATGTTTGGTCCAAATGCAAAGATCAGCCTTTAGAAAAGTGTGGTGCAAAGGCAGAGCTTGCACATGAAAAATTATCAGGATAAAGTGGTTTAGGTGCCTAAGGACTCTCCCAAAGAAGGATAAGTTTAGTAACAGGCTCTTGGGAGTTGGAGGGAGTTATTAAGGGTAGCCACTGAAGCCATAAATATGTGGTGCTCCGATTTCCCTAGAAATAATGTCCATGTCATCACAGTTCTTGGAAATGAGGACATCCATCTTGAAACAGCAAACTGTTGCAAGTGCTAGCAAGAAAGAAAATTAAAAAAGAGTTTGCAGCAACATCTTTTCACCCAGAGCTTGTCTTCTGCAGTTGCCTTCTCCAGTTGAGTTGACTGGTTAGGTCCTGGATGAATGAAGAACGTCATCCAAGGAGGACATTTCAGTGCATGCTTCATACTGATCTAAAGGTGGAGAAGGGAGCGGGGAGGAGAAGATTTAAATGGCTTGAATGAAATTTCATATAGTCCGACAACATTGCAAAATGGCGAGAAGTCTTCACGGGGCCAAATCTGACATTCGTGGAAACTTATGGAATGTGTGGTTTGACCTAATTGGCAGCAGACTTGCTGAGGACTGGAAAACCACAAGACGGAGCTTTCCATAAGCCACACAAAAGTTAAACTTGCCTTACAATAAAAGCATTCCATTGGCAAGACTTGACTCAAATCCCACGGGACAGTTAAGAGACGTTCTAAAGCAGACATTAAAACTCACTTGACAAGGGAAATTCAGAGTTGCATCACTTGCTGCATGATATCCCCTCTGTGCCCACACACCAAAATAAGTTCTGACTGTGCAAAGGAAGTCCCCCACCCTCCTTGACCCCTGTGCACCTCCTATATCTGTTGTGCAATATACCTCAACCCTCTGGAGCAGATTTGCCAATGGTGCGAGGAAAGGAGATGAGCGAAAGTCATTCTGCTTGCCAAATAATTTAGCTGAATATTGCCCACAGCAGTCAAGATGCTCTAGAGTACAACTACTTTTATACTGTCAAAAATGAGCTATATCATCCAGTATCTTCATGCATTGTGGGGAGGAACTGATACTCAGAGCACACATGCAGATGTTCCTCAGCTCAATGCATGGCATTTCCAGCAGAAGCAGAGGTAGCCATTGTAGGACCCTCTGAACGTTGCTACACTTCCAACTCCATCAGTCCTAGCCAGCATGGGTAATGGCTAAGGAAGATGGGAGTTGTAGTCCAACAACATCTGGACGACCTGAAAGTAAAGTTTCAGGGAGCAGAGCCTGAGGAAAACCTCTAGCAGAGACTATGCATTCTGTTCCGAGGCAGTAGGGGCATAAGTAAAGGCAGCCCCACTTGGTTATCTTAGCAAAACATGGTAGTTTCTTCCAAGTCTTCCATGTTTACTTGAACTCCAGGTCAACAGAGAGCCTTGAGATGAAACCAGCAAGTTACACTTTGCAATACAATGTATGCACCGGTTATGTTCTAGGGACTGAGCCTGAAGCAAAAATTGCGTATAGTCAAAATCCAATGGGTTCAGTGGCAGGTGGGATTGCCAAAGTCATTTCCCCCAGAATCCCAGTCCCTTTTTAATTTTTAAAAAGTTGTTTGTCGCGTGTGTGAAGCTGAATGCGCACAAGTTAAATGCAAATGGCTGGCTTCCTGTACTGCAGAGAAGAGCATAGGAAACTGTCTTACACCAGGTAAAATCAATGGGTTATCTGGTTCAGTATTTTCTGGGGCGCAGGGTTTCAAGCTAGGTCTCTCCCAGCCTTACCCAAAGATGCTGGGGACTGAATCTGGGATCTTCTGCACTCAGAGCACTTGCTCTGCCACTGAACCATAGCCATTACCCAACAGCACATTCATCTTTGGGGTCCTGTCAAGGCTTACCTTGTTTGGTTCCTCTTTAGCCACCCATCTCGACATTTTATGAACCAGAGTTCTTCACCAGGAGATATGTTGGTCTTCTGGGGGTCTTCTGCGCAAAACGTGAGCCTGAAACAAAAAAGGAAAATATGTAACTCCTACAATCCCAAGACTATAGTATTTAGCTGACCATTTGGGGAACAGAACACTGGAGCTTGGTTCGATTTATGAAGACAGTACCTATATTTGCAGAGTGGATATGGATACAAACCTTCGGCTGTATAAAGGTAAAGGTAAAGGGACCCCTGACCATTAGGTCCAGTCGTGGCCGACTCTGGGGTTGCGGCGTTCATCTCGCTTTACTGACTGAGGGAACCGGCGTACAGCTTCCGGGTCATGTGGCCAGCATGACTAAGCCGCTTCTGGTGAACCAGAGCAGTGCACAGAAACGCCATTTACCTTCCTGCCGGAGCGGTACCTATTTATCTACTTGCACTTTGACGTGCTTACGAACTGCTAGGTTGGCAGGAGCAGGGACCGAGCAACGGGAGCTCACCCCGTCGCGGGGATTCGAACCACCGACCTTCTGATCGGCAAGCCCTACACTCTGTGGTTCAACCCACAGGCTATTGGAGATCAAAGGCCTGCAGTCTTCTTGCTTGGTTTACCATGATGGCCTCATTATGATAAACCATAGCTAACAGTTGACCATGGATGCTTCAATTTGTGTTGTTGTTTTTTGCTCCTCCCACTATCACGGGGGAAACAAGGATCCCAGACTTAGTTTTTTGTCCAAATAAGGAATTGTGTTTGTTTTTCTCCCTGCAAAACACAATCTGTAGCAGAGGTCTGGTCTCAGCTAACAGACTATGGTTTGCATGAAACAAACCCCGTCCCCCAGCTGACATGGGGATTGTGGTTGCTTTCTCATGTGTGATAACGGGAAGGAGCAAAACAGCCCATACTGTTGCATGTGTGGTAATCCATTAACCACGGTTTACTGTGACATGCAAACTGAGCTATGTGACTCAAAAGTTAATACACACACTTAAAGAGACGTCTGCACGATGATGATTTTGGAGTTTCTATCAAGCCCAAAAACATATCCTGTTGTCTTGTCTGAATCAAAGTTTGCAATCATTCAATTGCTAGTGCCCTGGGCTTACTTTTGCTGAGTTTCGCCAGATTTCACACGGATCCGCCTGATCTGGAGCTCCTTGGACGAATTCTCAGGCCGAGTCCAGTACATCTTCAGCTCTCTCCACAAGCTGTACCAGGACTGAGTGGATCCTTGCCAGGTGAGCTTGATCTTCAAGACATCGCCAACATCTTCTTCAGTATAGACAAGGAAGGTGTTTGTATAGTTCAGGCCAATCTGCTCAAACCTGAGAATAAGAGGAACACAACGTTTTGTTAAGGAAGTGCAGAGGCAGGGAGCAACTCATATTTGCTTGTTATGGTTTCAGTGAAACACCTCTAGTTGACTTAACGCTAAGCTAGCGATTGTGGTTTCTTTCTCCGTTGTGCTAACAGGAAGGGGAGAGAGCTCCCGTGCTTGAATCCTGCTTGCTGGCTTTCCCAGAGGCAACTGTTCAACCACTGTGAGAGCAGGATGCTGGACTAGATGGGATATTGGCCTGATCCTGCAGGCTCTTTTTATAATCTTATGGTTCTCAAAAACCTGTCTTGTGGTTCATTCTGTCCAGCAATTTTCTAAGTGGTGCTCCAGGGAATCAAACTTATTAAGGGTTGTAATTACTTATTATAGCTTGTCTTTCATGGAGCTTGGATGAAAGGGAACCTATCCACCACTTCCCATCAAATATGTCAGTGGCAAATCCTACAAGAGGGTAGAGGGGGGTGGGAAGCAAAACATACAAATGAAGACTAAGTGTGCCCAGTGGCCATGAAATGTTGGCTCACCATCGGAAGAGGAAAGGACAGAAAATAATAATAAATTTTATTTATACTCCACCCTTCCCAGCCAAGGCCGGGCTCAGGGCGGCTAACAACCAATAATAAAAACAAGTTGATTGAAATACCACTTTAAAAACAAGATTAAAACACAACATTAAAACATTAAAATGCAGCCTTATCACAGGAGGAGAAAGGGGAAAAAAGAAAGAAAGAGGGGGAGGGAGTCAAATTGATCCTAAAGCCAAAGGCCAGGCAGAACAACTCTGTCTTACAGGCCCTGCGGAAAGAAATCCGATCCTGCAGGGCCCTGGTCTCATGAGACAGAGCGTTCCGCCAGGCTGGAGCCAGTGTTGAGAAGGCCCTGGCTCTGGTTGAGGCTAATCTAACTTTCTTAGGGCCCGGGGCTATTTATGGACCTTAAGGTCCTCCGTGGGGCATACAGGGAGAGGCGGTCCTGTAGGTACAAGGGTCCTAGGCTGTGAAAAGTGGGGGGGGGAATGGAATGGAATATCTGGGGCAAGGACATGGATGCCTGGCACCCTGAAAGGGAGCACTTCACACTGCAACATTTTGTTGCAGTCCTGCCTCGTTCCCCCACTAGCATTCAGATAAAAGAGCGTGAGGTGTGCACTCAGTTAGTGCTTGGTGACAATATCCCGTGTAAACAGAGTGCGTGACCGATGGTATACCAAAGAACTGTCTGTGATGCATATTAATTCAATTACACGCATGCACCGGTTCATCGAAAGAACATGACACGAAGAAAGTTCCCTCAAGATGAAATGTTTGAAATCTGGTAGTCCATTTTGTCAGCTTTAATCTACCTGCACACAAATGCGATTCCCTGATATTTGGCCTATAAGCACAGCAAAATGAGACCGGGCAGCGCGATGGTGACAGAATGAAATGAACTAGGCTGCAGGTGTGTGTAATAAACCACTGCCTGGATTTTTCTCTTTCATTTTTTTTTAAAATTAACTGCAAGAAGAAAACTAGCCCAACCAACTCCCTGTGCTATTAGCTTTCTTCTTGCAGGAACTTTCTTCTTGCAGGGACTTCCCCCTTTGAAGAGGTCCTCAGGGGCTATTTATGCACAGAGGGAGAAGTACTCCCCCACTCCAGTCTGGAGCAACCAGCCTACTCAGTCACAGGTTCAGGAATTGCACACACACAGAGAGAGAGAGACTTGAAAGAGGGTGCAGGGTTGATGTTTGTAATTCTCCACTTACACTTCCAGAGGCAGGGGCTGGGAGTCCCCACTGGTGCCGTGTAGCGTAACAGAGAAAGTAGGCTCTGTTTCTCCCATGTTTTTGTAGCTGAAGACATGCATTTTCATCTGGTAGTGGAAAACTGCAGAGACACAAGCGAAGACGCTTCAACGCAGAGCCAAGATTAGGGCTACAAATCCTTTGTTCCCTTTAAACAGACGCGGTTTGCAAGGCAAGTGCCAATTGGCATGGGATCTGCCCTGTCTTTGCCAAGCGGCGTTGCTGGGACTCTGTGCACATTAACCCCGATCCGGAGCAGATAAGACATAGATGAGGAACCAGAAACGCAGCTGTGTTTCCATCATTTCCCCCTGAGGAAGGACAGCTTTCTCTGGTCTCCTGCAACGACTGGCCATTTACACCTGCAAATTACTTGAAGGGTGCACCCTTGCGAAGGGGCAAGCTGGGATGCTTCCTCGAGGGGAGGGTTTCTAGCCTGCCGCTTGTGATACAGAGCTCTTTTCATCTGTGCTCCCAGACCTACCACAGCTCTTTGCTGGGAGCAGAGCCAGGGCTCCCCATGCTGGGACATTCAGATTTCACTTAAAAGCTTATTTCCCCTTTCAAGAAGGGACACATTTTCTCAGCAACCTGGGCTTCAGTGGAAACTGCGTCACGGGTCACCTTCACCACCAATGCAAGATGTGGCAGCGGCCATTGGGTTCACAGAATCATAGAATTGTAGAGTTGGAAGGGAGCCCCAGGGGTCATCTATTCCAACCCCTGCAATGCAGGAATCCCAACTAAAGCATCCATGACAGATGGCCATGCCTACGGGAAGCCTGCAAGTGGGAGCTGAATGCACCAGCGCTCTCCACACTTCTGATTCCCAGCAGCTGATGTTCCCCAACAGGGGAGCTAGAACACTCTTCAGCACTCAAGAAGAGCCCTGAAGCCCCACAGTGGATGGAAGCTAACCAGAATGGGTCAACAGCCCCAGGACCCAGGGTTCCCTCCTCCGTCCCTGAGTCCCTGACACTAAGGTACTCCAGGGTTCCTTGGAACAGTCTTTGATAAACCAGCAGAACCCATCATCAAGAAGAACCAGCCTAGAACCATCTACTCCAGCTCCTCTTCTCATAAGGATCAACCAGTGGCTTCATAGAGGATATGTCCATCAGTGGCTATTAGCCATGATGGTCAAATGGGGTCTGGAAGCAAATTAGCTCTGTCCGCAGCATCTGGTGCCTTCATACCCCAATTGTTGGCTTCCTGGAGCCACCTGTCTGGCCACAGCTAGAAATAGATTCCTCAGCTATAGACTCTTGGTCTGACGTAATCTTCTTCCCATCTCTGCAACCCAGAAATGATGTTGAGGGATCAATGTGGGACCCACTACACGCAAAACAGGTGCACTGTCACTGAGCTACAGCCCTTGCTCTCATTTCGGCTGCTCGAATAATGTAATTTTCTCCATCCACACACACACACATATATGGGTAGCTAGTTCTTTGAAGCTAGAACACAGGTAGCCAATGTTGTGCTTTCCAGATTTTGTTGGATGCCAACATCCATCAGCTCCAGTCAGCATGGCCAGCGACTAGAAATTATGAGAATGGTAATCCAACAACATCTATCAGCCTCTAAGTCAGAGGTGGTCCACAAGCTCCACTCTGAAGTTCTCATATGCTGGTAGGTCTATGAGCGCCAGTTAGGTGGCCCATGGAAAGGATGGGGAACAGATGAGAATATCTGCATTTGGTTCTGCACTTGATTAATTTCCCCCCCCTAACAATGGAGATTGATGACATTTTGACCAAGGGTGGAATATCCAACTGGCTAACAAAGCCCTGGTCTAGGGCCCAACATTTTTGTAGCTAAATGGGTTTTTCCTTCACTTGCCTCCCCTTAAATCCAAAAGCAGGATAAATGCTGAGCTGGACCCCAAAACAAAAGCCAACAATTTTTTTTTTTACATCTGGCTTCACTGAACTTTGCTCAAAAAACAAACAAACAAACAAACAAACACCACCAAAACTTTATTTAACTAATTCATAACCTGCTCTTCATTAAAACTCAATTCCAGGCAGCATATCAATATAAAACGTGATGGGGTGAACTGGAAATTCAAACCACAACAATAAATCAAAACTACATCACTGTTACTTAAAATATGACGTATGCAGGTGCTTTGATATCTGAATGAAGGGGTTTTTTTAAAGTAGCTTGCTGAGACCCCAAATTTCTTTTAAAGTGGTTTGTTTGTCTTGTTTTTAAAAGTCTGGGAACTCGTGGGCATGGGAGCCCCTGATGCTGTCTGGCGCACCATTGAGGAGAGAACCATCAACACATTTCAGATACAGGCTTCTGGTGTCCAAAGGGAGACACCCCACCCCAACCTGGAATGATGAATGTTGTAGTCCAAAACATCTGGGAGGCAACAGGTTGGGGGAGATGTCCCAATGCATATCCTGAGGTGTTTGTGAGGGGAAATCTAATGCAAACACATCCTTAAACTGATGATAGATAAATAAATGATAGATAGATAGATAGATAGATAGATAGATAGATAGATAGACAGATAATTTATTATGGTCGGAAACCAGCTTATAAAACACACTTGGGGGTACAATCCCAGAAGGAAAACAAACATTTAAAACAATGTACAACAATAAATTTATAAATGCGATAAGCATATAGACATTTAAAACTTTAAGATAAGCTCCTGCAGAAAGATGACCCAGAGTCACCCATGGAACCGAGTTTGGGAATTTTCTTAACGAACCAGTTTGAGTCCGGGGATAGTCTGCTCCTACAGATCTGTACACAGAATCTGGCGACCATCCGGGTCGTCTTATGAAACTGATATTACTTTATTATTATTATTATATGGGGGGAATACGTGGCCCTACAGGTGCTGTAGGACTACTACAGCTTACGACCTTCCTGACTATGTAGCCTTGCTACAGAGAGAAAAAACACTTGATGAGGTAAGCAAGCATAAAGCAACTTATTGGAGGGCAAGCTATGTCTTGCATCTGCAATGGTAGGAAAATGCAGGTCTGCCAAGGACGGAGGCATAGTTTTCTCCCATTTGGGGGCACTCATCACCTAGGCTAAAGCCCAGACTTTGCGATGGAGAGGCTACTGAGTTTAGCAGCAGGGGACAGTAGAGGTTAGTAGGCAGAGGTTTCTTGGGAAAGTTAGGGAAGCTGTTTTCTAGGAACAGACAAGGAGCTGGTGCAATTGAAAAAGTATTTGTTACCCGTTTCCCATCCAGTAGTTATTCAACTCAAAACTGCCGCTCCCACAAATGGTTAAGAATCCCTTTTTCCACACCCATCTTCTGCTCCTAATTACAGCTCTCCACAGCTGCTTTTTATCAAGAAACCACTGGCAGATCATCACCCATGTAATGTCTCTTTAAGCTTTTAGATGAATGTCATGATGGCTTTTTTTCCCACCAAGAACCAAAAAGTTGCCTGGCTGCTGCCCAGATTTTCTTTCTTTAAAGAAAGACCAAAAAGAAAAAAAGAAATTCTATCCTACCTATTTCTCCAAAGACACTATAAGGCAGCCAAGGAACAACAAAAAACAGAATGAAATCACATTAATGCCCTAAAAACCCCACAGATACATTCAAATGAATAAGCAAACGCTATCCATTTGACAAATTCCAGCAGCACAAGAACAACACAGAAATGAGCCGGCAAATAAATGCACCATTAACCAGGTGCCATTTTTAAAAACAAGGTCTTCACCCACACCCTGAAACAGCAAAGCGATGGGGCCCAACAGACCTCGCTTGGTGAGGCAATGCATAGGGCTGGTGCCACGACAGAAAAGGCCCTGCCCTGATTGGACACCAGCCCCACTTGCCAAGACTGAGGAATCTGAAGCGGGGTTCATATTACTGCCTCCAACTGTGGCTCAAAGCCATCCAAGTTCGGGGCCATCACAGCCTCCTGCAGAAATGAGTTCCATAGTTTAACTGTGTGAAGAAGGACCTCCTGATGTCTGCAATGAATCTTCCAACATTCAGCTTCACTGAAAGTGAAGTTCTAGTATTATGAAAGAGGGAGGGGGGGGGAAATCCTGCTCCATCCTCTTTCTCTCTGCCATGCATAATTTTATAAACTCCTATCATGTCACTTCTTGCTCGCTTCTTCTCTAAACTAAAAACGGGTCACTTGGTGCCACTGTGATTTCAGATGATTGATGGGCAGGGAGCTCTGTCCACCTGCCAGTCATGGCCCACAGGGTAAAGATCAGAGGCAGAGCTAGCTGTTCCGGCACCTGGAGCAGCGCACATGCGGTGCACCCAGGGGAGGGCCATGGAGGCGGGGTGAGCATCCCGGGGGGGGCAGAGTGAGCCACCCATGGGATGGGGTGATACATTCATAATGATACATTCTTTATCAATCTTCTGAGTGAAATATACAAAACCTTGTGCAAAGCCACAAATGCTTTAGGTAAAAAGATAAAGAAAACAAAAGACTGAGTTAAGCATTTGAAATATCCATTGAAACCAGGCATTATAAGTTCATCTTAGACTGGGTAGTTCATAAGTCTCTCTGGCTTTGCACAAGGTTTTGTATATTACTCTCAGACGATTGATAAACAACGTATAATTTTTTTTTGGTAATTATTGTGTGTATATTAGTCGCCAATGTGTTGCATGAGTCGTACTACTACTACCCATGGGGGTGGAGCAAGCCGCCCATGGCGGGCTGGTTTCTCGCGGGGGGAGCGACGCCACTTTGCCAGCAGCCTTCCTCCCTTCCCTCTTCCTTTTGACAGCTTGGGGGAGGCTCTTCCCCCAGGAAACAGCCCAGGAATGAGGGGCAACAGTGCGACTCCCAAGCCTCCCCCGAGCTGTCAAAATGAAGGGGGAAGGGGTGAAGGCCGCCGGCAAGGTGGCGCAGCTCCACCCCTTCCCCGATGGCCAGGGGTAGACTTGGGAGTCTCAGGCAGGCGGCGCGCCAAATGTCACCCCACCCCCAGTGATGACACCTGGGGCACACCGCCCTCCCCGCCCCGCATTCCCAAGTCAATGGTTCAGCATTTCAGCAAGGGAAACCTGCCCCTTGCAGCATGCAACCTTTTCGCTGGGATCTGCAAGGAGACCCTCCAGTGCTTCGGATGCTGGCTTGCCTTCCTCTGCAAATAAAAACGGAAGTTCTCCGTGACTGACGGAACGCCAAAGGAAGAAAGGAGCCTACCTTTGAAAGGCATGTCGGCCCGTGTCTTCAAGTACATTTTGGTGTTCCTCTTGTTCCGCATTTTCTTGGCGTTGTAGCCAATGCCGTTGCAGCGGTTCTTGCGGCAGCTCAGACAGATGCCCTTGCGGAACCGGCTGGAGTCCGTGCACTGGAAGGCAAAGCTCTGCTTATCCTTGTTCACAAGGGAGTCCACAAAGAGGTGCACGGACCGTTCGTGTTCGCACCTCACAGCCTCCCCAATATCTAGATGGACAGACAGGGAGGAGGAGGGAAAACAGTCGTAAGGCAACAAGCCAGCCATTTAGCATTCTCCACCTCCGTGGTGGAAAGGCAGGCACACGTGCAGCAAGATTTACAGATCTCTAGGTCCTTTGTAGTTTAGCGCAAGCCAGACTTGGCCACGGACCAGGCAGGCCTCTGGCCAAAAATTCTGCCGTGCAACCGGAAGCGTACGTTGTAGGAGGCATCCGAAAATGCAATGCAGAGCCTAAATATAGGCCATCTAATAATCTTCAGTCGTTTCACGAACCGAAATGGCTTTATTTTTTCATTAACATTTTAATAGGATTCAAAGAATTTGGCAAATGCTTGCCAGATCACACAAGTGCTTTTATCCCATTGGCCAGAAAAGGCAGGAGTCCGTTTATGGTTTCATGAGGAGATAAGTAGAAGGATGTCAGCATAGCTTGATGTGTCTATAAACCAGGCTTCCTCAACCTCGGCCCTCCAGATGTTTTTGGCCTACAACTCCCATGATCCCTAGCTAACAGGACTAGTGGTCAGGGATGATGAGGGTGTAGTCGAAAACATCTGGAGGGCCGAAGGTTGAGGATGCCTGAGTTATTACATAGTGAATTGCTTCAAGTTGTCTAATGGGAAGAGATTCATGAATGAAATATTTTTTCTTCCTCATCCTTAATTTTATAACAGAGGAGCTGAGGCTGAGAGAGACTTTCTCAAGAATTCACATAGTGAATTCATAGCAGGGGAGAAAGCAAACCAGGGGCATATTGACTCATCCCTCGGTGTTAGTCATTACACCGCAATAGCTTTCCCAGATCTGCATACTAGCATATCAGGTTTTGCAATGAATAATCCCCTCCTCCTACACACCTATGCATCTGTTTAATATATGTAAGCCAGGAAGTATTTTGCAACTAGAGGGTTTGCATCTTCTTAGGCTGAGGACAGCATCTTACCAAAGGCAAGTTACTCTGATGTGGCAGAGTTAGCAATCTGTGTGACCCCCCCTGCCTGCCCACCACCACCAAAATACAAGCAGAAAGCCTTACTTCCGTAGGCAAGGGACCCCAAGACATCACTCAAGCCGCAGCCTGGCTGGACGTCTCCTCCATTCGGGTAGATGTCGATGTGACCCACAGGCATCTTGATCCCAATGCTGACCCCCAGCGTTTCCCTCGTGTACGTGTGCAAGACGTCCACAAAGTCTGCATCGTCGGGAGAGAGGCGTCGGTTGGGGTCAACTCCTTCGAACATTGGGCCGGCTGGATCCAAGCCTGCAGAGGAATACGGTTGAGATGGACGCAGGTATTTCATTGGAAGCTACCTTACAGTATACTAAAGCCAGACTATTTCCCCACTCAGACCAGCACTGCCTATTCTGAGTGGCAGCAGCTCTTCAGAGTTGTGGACAATTCCTACCATCTCCAGTCATTTTCACAGGAGATTCCAGGAACTGACCGGGGGTGTGTGCTTCTGAATGCAGTTCAGGTGCTAAGGCTAAACAATCGCCCCTCCCCTAATTTCAACTTCATTTTAAAAATCACTATTTCTAACATTTGTGAACTGGCAATTTTTTGGCCACGCACACCTGCATTCTGAAAATGGTACCATCCATTGTATCACCCTGTTCTCCTGCCAGGCCTTGAGTCACGAATGATTACCTTGAGTACCCCCAGAGGCTATTGGACTCCAACTCCCATCAGTCCCGTGCAGCACGGCCAATGGTTAGGGATGATGGGAACTGTTGTTCTACAACACCCAAAGGATCACAGGGTCTTTACTACTGCTCTGGGTTTGCCGCAAGCAGCAGTGGATGTGGATGTGCAATGAGCCACTGGGCTAAGATGACATTTCTGTTATCTTTCCATAATTGCTCCTTCTGCCTTTGGGGCAACCCTCAGCCCTTATCTGTGGGATGTGATGCATAAGTAGCAGTCAAGGACAACATTCCTTGTTTTCCTAGAGTGGACATGCAGGGGAATGTTTGGTCCAGCCAGTCGAAAACTTCCTGTTTCCTCCTGGCTGGGACATACTTCCTTTGTATGTGACTAGAGGTGGGTGTGACCTTACCTGTCCAGGTAACAAAAAGGACATGGCACACTGCACACACTCTCTCTTTGACTTCCTCCGTTGTTGGAACAGCTTTTTAGCTAGAGACTGCTTCTAGCCAACATAGGACAGTGGGATTGTCCCCATATGGGATAGATCCACATCTATATACTTTGTAACTAAGTCTGCCTTCAGGGATCCAACTGTGAACTGAATGTGAGTAAACCTCTTTTATATACTTTACACAAGGTTGTGGCGTGTTTATTCTTTTAAGAGGGGTATAAGGGATCTTACCAGGAACCTTATAGTGAGAGGCTTACACAAGCCTGCAACCAGTTATCCGCTGTGCATTTAAAGGGGGAATGTGAAACTCTGCTAAGTGAAGGAACTTGCTAGCGCAAGTTAGGAAGGATATTAATAAACAATATATCCTCTCCTGCCTCCCTGAACATTCCCACAATATCCTCATTTACAACCAGTTCCTTACACAGAGCAGGAATATGCAGGGATCGAACCTGCGATATTGGCGACATCAGAACCACGGTCTAACAAACCGAGCCACACGCTTAGCATGGTCTGAGCCACACCATCAGGCAAGCAGAGAGGGGAAGTTCAAACCACCCCAGCCTGTCTGGGAGTAGCTTCCAGCCAAATGCAAAACTGTTCCAGCCGAGACTTACCTTGAGGCTGTGCGTGCAGATTCAGGATTCACCTGGTGTGTCACATGCCACAAACCTGCCTCAAGCAGAGGACGGGGCTTTCAGCAGTTTCAGAAAACCACAAGGCAACAGCGCACACTAATTCATAGGAGGCGAGGGGGAAGTTGGTTGGCTTACCTGTAATTCTGCCAATTGTCCCCATAGCATAGTTCCCAGCATAGCCAGCAACGTGGGCCCCCAGGCTGTAGCCAATCAGGTGGACATTTTGGAGCTGGAAGCGTTCTTTCTCCTGCAAGAGCAACATGAACAGGATCAAGCCAGTCGCTCGTGGAAGAAGAAAACTTTTGAACAGAATTTAGTAAGGGCATCAGAAGAGCTTGATGGTTCAGGCTGATGGCCCATCTAGGCCAGCATCCTGTTCTTGCAGTGGCCAACCAGACACCTCTAGGAAACCCACCAGCAGGATTCGAATACAAGAGCAACTCTCCAGTTCTGGCAACTGGTATTCAGAAGCATTGGTGCTTCCCAACTCTGGAGGGCAGAGCGCAGCCTTCATGGCTAATCGTCATGGTAAAAGAGTATGCAAAGGGTGCACACAGGAACAGGAAAGGTTCAGCTTTACGAAACACATTGTGCCTTCAGCTGATGACGCAAGGAACATTCGATGCCTTTGGCCAATAAACCTTGTTTTCTACACCCTCAGCTTTAGGTGGTGCAAGTTGCTTCATGCAGGTTTTTCCACCCCCAAGAAACAGAAGGCGGAACTGATGTTATGGGAAGCAAAGCAGGGCCGAGTCCTCCCAAGCAATGGTAGGTAAAGACGTAAGAGCAAAACTATGCATTCAGAGTGAATGTTCAGGGACAGCCCCTTTTGGACATTTTACATGGCAGCTGCAGGGGAACCACAGGGTCTGAGTGCGCCCCGATTCGTCTGTAAAATGCAAGCGTGCCTGGGGTAAGGTTAGAACCCAATGTACTGGCGTCATGGGCAAGGCAGATTCTGCTCATCTTCCTGGTGGCTGCCCACTCAAAGCTGCCATCTTTTCCCTGCAGTCTGAAGTGTTAAAGTCCAGAAAGAGCCGTACCAATCAGCAACTATGGATTAAAATAAGCAGTTATGGATATGTGGAATTTGCCTTATTCTGAGTCTAGTACATCTGTATGTATGTATTCTTTTTATTTAAATGTTGTATAAACTGCATTTGGACCACGGTGGAGCTGATGGGAGCCCAACACCACCTTCAGGACCATCCCTGTTGTATAGCATTAGAAGATCACACACCCTGGGTTTTTGGACAATGGCTCTGGTGCCTGCAGTTTCAGTTTGCATGGGATGAGAAGCGCCAGCATCAGCAACGCCACCTGCCCCATCCCACCAATCAACAGCTTGGCACGCAGCCTGCTGTGTGATGCCAAAGATGGCATCCCCTGCCAGGTCCTGCAGCATCCAGGCTGACATTTCTGGAGCAATGGCCGCTTTCCCATGCAGTTTTTGCTGCTCAGGAAATGGGAGGTTTCCAGCTTGAAGTTACCTGCAACCAGTTAAGCAGCTTGGCCACTTCCTTCCCAACCACTCGGGTGTAGTTCACAGCATCTGTGTATAGCTGGTGGGCAAGAGGGAGCCAATCGACCACGACCACGTTGGCATCCTTCTCTCGCTCCTGCAAGGCCGACACAACGCTCCCCAGCCAGCTCTCAAACATGCCAGTCATCTGGAAGAAGAATCCATGTTTAGTTCCTTTCTGGCCAAAGGAGGACCAGCAAGAGAAGTATCTTGGCAACCTTCTACCCTATGTGGTGGACATGTCCCGAGATCAGAAAGTTCTGGGACATGATCCATGAAGAAATAAAAAGTTACTAAGAACTTCACATAACAAAAGACCAGAAACATATCTTTGGGGAATATTGAATAGTGATATTCCTAGAGAAAATACTAAATTATTTCTGTACGTGACATCAGTGGCGAGAATCTTGGTGGCTCAGTACTGGAAGAGTAACCAGGTACCGACCAAAGAGGAATAGTTATGTAAATTATGTGAATATTTGGAGCTGGCCAGATGGACGGATATAATAATATTAAAGCCAATGAATACAGTCAAGAAGGAATGGAAGTGCTTGAATGATTATTTAGAAAGACAAGGTCCAAAAGTAAAAATTTGGCTGTGTCTAGAATGACCTTGTGAATGGAAAAGGGGAAGCATACATATATACATATCTATATATTAAGATGAAAACATTACTGAAATACAGATAAAATATGAAATGTGAAAGGAAGTGTTGTGAGAGTGATGGACGTCTATTATTACTATTATTTTGTAAAATAGTGTTTATTGTATTGAAATATTATACTTTTCTTTATTCTTTTACTGTCTGCTTCTCTTTGCATTTTTCTTCTTCTTCTTTCTTTTTTATGTTAGTCTTTATGTATGGTTTGGTATTGATGTATTTACTTTGCAATAATTTTTATTTTATTTTAATTTTTTTAAAGAGAAGTATCTTGGCTTTCTGAGGACTGAGAGGAATCAGTGCCTACGCGTTTCTAGCAGGGTTTTTATACTGTTTTTAATGTGCTGCGTTGTGCGCCTTTGAGGGTTTTGGCCAAAGGTTAGAACTGACAAACCAAGTGCCTGAGAGAGGGTTATGGTTTAGAATTTCACGCTAGGAGTCACCTAACACCAGTCACCTCATCTCTCACACCTTATTCTGTTAATCTAAAGCTAGTGGCTTTAAAAACAACACCAAGCTGTGAATCAGAAAGCTCCTAGGTCAAATATCAAACCCAGCAGGAATTAACTAGGAAGTGTTGAGTCCCTTACAGAAACCTGCCTTTCCTACATAAGTTCACCAAAGGGTTTCAAAGAATCATAGAAATGTACCGTATTTTTTGCTCTATAGGACGCACTTTCCCCCTCCAAAATTTAAGGGGGAATGTGTGTGCGTCCTATGGAGCGAATGAAGGCTCCTTGGCTTCAGCGATAGCAACGTGAAGCCTCCGAAGCGCAGAGGGAGTGCTCCCTCCACGCTCCGGAGGCTTTGCGTTGCTTTTGCTGAAGCCGGGAGAGCAAGACTCTCCCAGATTCAGCGAAAGGAACCTGAAGCCTCCGGAGAGCAGCGGGAACTCGCGCTGCTAAGGCTTCAGGGATAGCTGCCTGAAGCCTCCGGAGCGCAGCGGTAGGTCCCGCTGCGCTCCAGAGGCTTCGAGTTCTTTTTGCTGAAGCCGGGAGAGCAAGACTCTCCTGGCTTCAGCAGAGAGGGAGAGCTGCGCAGCGCCCCTTCAGCGAAGCAGGAGGAAGGGGCTCTGTTTCTCCTGCCGCTTCGCTGAAGGGGCGCTGAGCAGAGAGGGGGAGAATTTATTTTTCTTGTTCTCCCCCTCTAAAACAAGGTGCGTCCTATGGTCTGGTGCGTCCTATAGAGCGAAAAATACGGTAGAATTGGAAGGGACCCTAAGGACTTTCAAGTCCAAAAGCCTGCAAGGCAGGAACATGCAGCTGCCCCACAGGGGGATCAAACTTGTAACCTTGGCGTTATCAGCACCATGCTCTAACCACCTGAGCTATCCAGGTTTCCTCACACATAGGGGAGGTCTGTGCATAGAACTGCCACACATACTGCACAGATGGGGCGAGTGCATGGGCACATTGGCAGTAGGGTGCGTGGCTAGTCCAGGCAGTTGACTAATATCACAGCAGGTAGAACAGGACCTCCAGAAGTTGCTGGACTACAACTCCCAGCATCCTCCACTCTTGGAAATGCTGGCTGCAGCTGATGGGAGTTGGAGGTCAGCAGCTGTCTTGGCCCTCTCCGTCAGATGTAGAACTCCAACTCACGAGTTCTGCCATGGGCTTTAACGCCAAGGCTCAGATTGGTACATAAGGCAAAGTTACTGTTGCTCTCCAGGCTTTCCGACACGGTGGGTCGTTGGCACGTACAGAGAGGGGAAGGGGCAGGTAGCTTGGGCCATTGTGGTGCAATGTGGCACCAATTTGATCCCCCACACACTGTGCATTGGATCAAGCCAAGCTCCACGTGCCTTCCCTCTAGGAGAGCATCAGTCACCCACTCTGTTGGTTTTTTGTTTTTTTTTTACCAACAACCAAAACACAGTGAAAACAAACAGTGAAACCCCCCCAGGCAGCTGATACATTGGGTATACATAATCAATAATAACATATTCGAATCAACAATATGTACAATTCTATATACCGTAACACTCCTCCCTCCACAAGGTTTATTTAACTTTTAACATTTTAATTACCCCAAATTGTTCAAACCAAATTAATTCAATATCTTCTCAAACCAATCTTCCTTCTACTCACTGACCTTAAACCCTTTCATTTTTTGTTTCTTCACAGTTAGATATTCTAAGATTATAATATTTTTCAATTTTTCCCTCCATTGGTTCACCCCTAGCTCTTCTGCATTTTTCCAGTTACTCGCTATAACCTGTCTGGCTGCAATTACCATCAATTTTACCCATTTACATTCCTCTTTTGTTTCTAACTCAGAGCTACTCAGGCTAATAAGAACCATTAAATTAGATATTTCCAGCTTCCTACCCACAACTCCCAATATTTCTATACCAATCTGTTTCCAGAATTCATTAACTAATGGACAATTCCACCACATATGACTGCATGTTCCCATCACTCCACATTTCCTCCAACAATTCTTACTTCCAGATTTTGTAATATGATATAACCTTACACTGTGTTGGTAAGCCAGGAGATCAACGATGCCCCATCCATGCCACCTCTGTGGTCACTACTTCCCAGTTACTCAGCACCAAGCAGAATGTTTCGCCCAGAGCCCTCAAAGGGACTCAAACCAAGTGAAAAACTGGTTTCTCTCTTGAAGTGTTTATGGCTTTAAAAACAATGGATTGAGGATCAACAACCCCCACCCAAAATGCCATAGGATACACACACACAGAGTTCCTCTTATGCTAAGAGCAACACGAAGCAGCAAAGAATTCTATTCTACTTACCGCCCATCCATGAATAACGAAGAAGCTTTTAGCAGAGACGTTAAACTTGCAGTCTTCCAAATGCTGGTCTTGGCCCGTAGTGAGGTAGCACCCTTTGTCTTCTAGGTCCCTAGAAGTGCGGACATTGAATTTCACCGGCAGCTTGAGAACTTTCGGTGGTTCAGCTGGCTTTAGCAGCTGAGAAACGCCAACATCTGAAACATGAGCACTTACTGGTTAGGGTTTCCATACGTTCGGAATTTCCTGGATATATCCAGAATATTGCAGTCGGCAGCGGTGTCCGGGTGGAAATCCAGTAAAATCCAGGCATATGGCAGCCCATGTCGGCAGTGCCGTTTTGGCCGCTTTTCCATGAAAATAGCTCAAAAACGGCATTTTTTGTGATTTCGCCGAAAGAGCTTAACAGCTTTTCTGTCCGGATTTTCACTGTTTGAAATATGGCTACCCTATTACTGCTTAGCATCACCCGGCAAGGGATGAATAAATTGCATAAAAACTGTGGACAGTTTACAGCGATCTAAAGGTAAGGTGTGATCCCTAAGGAACCGGCAGCCACAGCTAGGGCTTTTTTTCAGCCGAAACTCACAAGAACTCAGTTCCGGCACCTCTCAGGTGGGCGCCATTGCCATTATAAGAGAACAAGGGAGGCATTCATGGTGAGTTCCGGCACTTCTAGAAAAATAGCACTGGTCACTATCATGTGTTACTACCAAAACTACTTTGCAGTTTTAGAGCAGGGATGTGGGTGGCGCTGTGGGTTAAACCACAGAGCCTAGGACTTGCTAATCAGATGGTTGGCAGTTCGAATCCCCATGACAGGGTGAGCTCCCGTTGCTTGGTCCCTGCTCCTGCCAACCTAGCAGTTCGAAAGCACGTCAAAGTGCAAGTAGATAAATAGGTACCACTCCGGCGGGAAGGTAAATGGCATTTCCGTGTGCTGCTCTGGTTCGCCAGAAGCGGCTTAGTCATGCTGGCCGCATGACCCGGAAGCTGTACGTCGGCTCCCTCGGCCAATAAAGCGAAATGAGCGCCGCAACCCCAGAGTCGGTCACGACTGGACCTAATGGTCAGGGGTCCCTTTACCTTACCCTTGTCTCATATGTGCAGGTGGGCTTCCATATGCCCACATTTCATCAGGCCCACAACTTTGAGCTAAAGTCTACAAGCTTACATGAGCACGTTCTCCACAACCAGGTATAGCAGGGGTTGTCAGGAGTTCATCCTACACTTGAGTAGGACCCTGGCAGAGACACATGCCCGACTGGCATGTTCTCTCCCTCCTGGTCGATCGTTCGGGAGCTTCAAAAGCTTTCTTCAGCCCGAACATCACAGTGCCCAATGCCAACAGACATCGGCACACTTAGGGATCCGCAGAGTCTTCGCAGCTTGCATGACAGACCTCAGCAACTCAGCATTTTGGCTAATCTACTTTATTTACATATAAACAGACACAGAGCACTGTGACATGGCTCCCTCTCTCTCTAGCATCAGACAGCAAAGAGAAAGAACAAAGGACAATAGTCCCACTTCACGGAACACAGTAACACAAACATCCTGTCTCCGTCACTTCCCACTCTGTGGAGTCAAAACAGACACCGTCATGTGATAGACAACAATCCCATGACTGCAATCATGGAGCAGGAATTCTAACAGAGGTAGCCAATGCTGTGCTCTCCAGAGGCAGCTGGACTACAACTCCCATCATCTCTGACCATCGGCCATGTTGGCTGGGGCTGATGGGAGCTGGAGTCAAGCAACAACGTCTGGGAAGGCACAGTCGTCCCCCCCGCTGCTTGCAGTGCAAGCTCACACGTCAAAACATAACTTATCGCCTCCCCACCACTCCCAACAGTCAGATCATATCCAGGCCCTGAAACCCACCCATACACACACCGCTGTGGGCCCCTGCCTGCCTAGGGGGCAGGTGTAGAGAGTTGGGGAATATGCACACTTAAGAACTGTGCACACATTTCCGCCATGTGCAGCCGACAAGCATAGAGCGGGACAGGGGATCATGCCCACGAGCCTCACACGCTCTCTCTGCACATTCATCATAATGCAGCCACAGTCCTAAGCTGCATGCAGGTGGGCTCTTTGGGTGCAACTGAGAACTGTGCCAAATCACCCAGTGCCAACTGGGTGCCCGAGGACCTGCAGAATTCCCCATGAAGGGGTTAGTAAAGGTAAAGGTACCCCTGACCATTAGGTCCAGTCATGGCCGACTCTGGGGCTGCGGCGCTCATCTTGCTTTATTGGCCGAGGGAGCCGGCGTACAGCTGGTCATGTGGCCAGCATGACTAAGCCGCTTCTGGCGAACCAGAGCAGCGCACGGAAACGCCGTTTACCTTCCCACCAGAGCGGTACCTATTTATCTACTTGCACTTTGACATGCTTTTGAATTGCTAGGTTGGCAGGAGCAGGGACCGAGCAATGGGAGCTTACACCGTCGTGGAGATTCGAACCGCCGACCTTCTGATTGGCAAGTCCTAGGCTCTGTGGTTTAACCCACAGCGCCACCCGTGTCCTCATGAAGGGGTTGGGCACCCACAAATTTCAGTGCCAGGGCCTGAAACTGTGCACGCAGTTGGTATGCATAGAGGCTAGGGGCATAGAGGATGCTAAACACAGGTAGAGGAAAGAATGGAAGCGAAGTCCAAATCTTAGCTGTGGTTCTTGCACCTCAAGGGGTTGGATTAGATGGCCCTTTGCAGTCCATTCCAATTCTGCGATTCTATGAAAAGAACATTGACTCAGCAGTAGCATAACGTTTGCACAATCTTATAGTCTCCTGCAGAACCATGGCAAGCCATCCTGTCCTCATCCAAATTTACACCAAGATTCTAGCTTAGTGGTTCCTGAACTTACTCAGGCCACCTCCTCCCCTTCGTTTCATAAACTCATTCCAATACCTCCTACCCTACCCTATAAAACGCATGATTCAGAATAGTCGTTTGCACAACCGGCTAAGGAAGATAATAACACGATGAATTTCTAAACAGTAACAATCAATTGCACATTTATCCAAAGTCCTGTTAGAACTATTTAGTTGAATTAATTCAGCAAAATTGATGAACTTGATCCAATGATACCCAGAGGTGGAGATAACTGCTGTGCACCCGGGGGCAGGGCTAGCAGCCCATGGGGTGGGGCTAGTTGCCTGTGGGGGCGGGGCTAGCCACCCATGGCAAGTGCCCCAGGGGGTGCAACCCGTGGCGAGCAGCGAGCGACCCAGGGGGGCAGGGGGGCAATGTCACCCCCCTCCGGGGATGACACCTGGGGCTGGCCGCACCCACCGCACCCCTCCCCCGCCAGTGACGATACCAGCTTCTCAAAGTCCAATAGCCATTTACACTTCCAGCACCCCTTGCCTCTTAGCGACCCCCTAAGTTATCCCTCCAACACCCCCCCCCGGGGTGGTACCACCCACTTTGAGAAGCACTGCCATAGCTCTGTTTTTCAACCCCTTGGATTCAGTAACTGCAGGAGATTAAAACCCTGCAAATATTTCACACACACACACGAGTAGCTTGCGGAAAGAGAATACTGCCATGAAGGCCATTTAAACTCAAATTCGGGAGAAAATTGCTCATTACATGCATGATTCAATTAGACGTGCACTCTTCCTAGACATGCAGACCTGGCTTTTGACCAACACTCTATTTCCATGCAAAAATCCCAATGTATCTCTTAATCCTAATATATCCTCTATGCCAGTTTAATATCAAGAAAAATCCAGAAACCTGTCCTTTCCCTCCTTAAGGCAGCAGAGGTGACCAGCTTATCCAAACAAGGAATACTTCACAGTTTAAGCTGCATTTGCAAAACACATCAATAGAAACAGCAAATTTCAGACGCAATCCAGTAGAACTACATGGAGTTACACCTTAGTGGCACACTGACTTACTTTTTACGGTAAGTCACAGAACCAGTTCAGCAGCCTAGGATAAGCACACGTCAGCAGGTGAGGCAGAGACTGCCCCTGATTTAGGACTTCTGACAGGTTGCCTGCGAGATAACAGAGGGCGCCAGGAGCACATCAAGCGACCGGAGCAGTGAGCTCTTGGATTGATACAAAACTCAGGCTGCAGGCGCACCATACATTTAAAGCCCCCGTCTTTTCTCCCAAAGAATTCTGGGAGCTGTAGTTTGCCCCAAATAAAGCTACAGCTCCAAGCACCATCAAGACACTACAATTCCCAGGCTTCTTTGCATGGTGAAAATGCTTTCTATGCATGGCGTGTGCATAGCCTGAGTCTCCACTTGTTTTCATGCTTGCCCTCTAAGCAGTGCTTACTCCTGGGAAAACGGGCCCAGAATTCTCACATCACCCATCGTCATGCTTAGCACCACCTATTTAAGATCTTGCAGAGGCAGGTCAAGTTTTCAGCATCAAAGCCATGCTGCCATATTGTAAGAAGCTTTGATGTGCAGTTTGAATATATGCCAGGGTTCGTTGCAGCTAGATCTTCCCCTTCCCCAAAAAAGAAACTGCTAGAATCCGCCCCGCCTCCCAAAAAGAAACCTCTAGTTAAAATCTAGAATGCGAGAACAATCACCAGCTTCTAAGCATGTGACCAAAAGGGACTCTTTTTCACCATGCAAGGCAAACAATCACCAAGCATAAAGAGGGCTTGCTGGGCAGGCGGTAAAATTCAGGCTAGGCTTTGAGGTTTTACATTAAAAATAAAAGCACCATCTAGCTGTCACGTTTCCCTATCCATGCACTTATTAGCCTTGCCTCTAGCCAGATTTAAAATTAAAAACTCAGGACATAGCGAAAGATTCTCTCTTTAGGCACTTGCTATTAATAGCGGAAGAACCTTGATCATCAGCTCCATTAAATATGAGACGCTGGTGCTATAAATCACGAGCACTGCAAGCCCATCGTCAATCGAACAGCAGGCTAAAATAAGGCACTTGCAGGCGCAATTCAGTCTCTACTCAGAAGTACAACTAAGTTCAATGGAGATTACTTCCAGGTAAATCGCCCTACAATCACAGGCTAAATTTCTGAAATAGCAGCTGATTCTACACAGGCACAACCCGGGGTGGTGCAAGCGCCGTTAGAGAAAAGGCTATAGTTGCGCCCTTGTAACATTCCCCATTCTTTTCAACGGGGCTTGCACCGAGTGTCCGCTTGGAAGAGCAAGGTTTTTAAACACTTTATGCGCCAGACCCAGGATCACAAAGCTAGACAGAAGGCGTCGTGGTTTAGAAGCAGGGCAGCCAGATGACACAGAGTCCAGCTGCTCTTTCACGCATTTCAAGATGCAGCAGAGAGCTCACCGAACAGCAAATCACGTCCGCCCTTTTCACCGCCTCAGCTGAAAGTTAAAGGCAGGCATCGCCTCGGCGGCAAGGCAAGAGATGCGCTCCGCTTGCCTTTCCCCACCGGCGAAATGTTCCAGTTCCCTTTGTTGGTCTGGGGAGTTCCAAACACGAGGCTTAAAGCCGCATTCGTATCGCTTAACCTTACAATTGTCTCACACTTTCACATTTAGCTGTCTCTCTCCCACAAACGCGCCCATTCCAGCTCCAGAAACGAAACACAGAATGGCAAAGTTGGAAGGAACAGCAAAGGCCAACTCGGGTGGAACTCCCTGCAGATGCCGGCAATGAAATCCACATCTCCAGAACGAAAGAGCAACTCAAGTCTCGCGCATCCCAGCACCCAGGTGCGCCGCACACCACTAACGCGCAATAGGCAAAAGGCGCACCAAAAGCAGGCAGGCTGCGCGCGGCTCCCTACCCATCTGCTTTCCCAGCGCCCACTTTGTCCCGCCACCGCCCCAGGGAGAAAGCCACCCTGCTAGGGTTGCCATATGTCCTCCCCCCCCCCCAGGACTCGTCCTTTTCCCCCCAGGTAGAATCGTCTTAGCGATCCATAGTTAAAAGTAGAAGTTGGCGAAAGTGTCCTCTTTTTTGCTCTTCAAAATATGGCAGCCCCACACCCTGCAGCCCCGCTTACCTCCCTGGGGGTCCCTCTCCGCTTGCAAGGCGTCCTCCCGGGGCGCGCAAGAGGCGAGAGCGATGCACAGCAGGACAGCAAAAGTTCTCATCGCTCCAGCAAACGCCGAGTCGTCTTGTCCGCCTCCTCCTTCCAATACTGCACTTGACTTGCTGAGGCTGCTCAGACTTCTTCAGAGCCGGCTTTTTCTTCTTCTTTCTTTTTCTTTGGGGGGAAAGGGGGCGAGATGATGCTGAGCCTGCAGAAACGGCAAAGCACCGGGCTTTCTCTCTCGGAGGAGGAGGAGATGGAGATGGAGAAAGAGGCGAGCGGCGCGCGCGCAGGGAGCCGAGCAACTAACTTGCAAGCGCAAAGGCGCAGCAACCAAGCGGAGCAACCGGCAAGGGGGGTCGTTTCTAAATAGGCAAGTGGGAGCGTCACCTGACCCATGGCCAGATGGGGATGGGACTCTGTAGGCCCGGGATCCGGGCTTCTGATTGGTCACGCCTCCCTGACGTCAAGAGCAAGCCGGCCAAAAAGTCTGAATGAAAACGCCACACACCCACCTCGAGGAAGGGAGGCGGCGCGGAGAGGCGAGACTTGAGGCGGGGCGTCGCGACACGAGGCGAGAGCAGGAGATTGCCTAGGAGAGGGAGACGCTCAGGAGAGCGGCCGGAGGCTGGTGCAGCCCGTGCCCGTGCCTTTCCCTCTGGAATTCTGCTCCCTCCTTTCCCAAATAACTGAGATCTGGAGAAAGTGAATGGAGGGGAATGGGAGGGGCACTGGGCAGTTCTTCAATGAAGCACAGAGTTAAACCGTGCAACTCACTGACAGGTCCGTTCCTTGCGCCTTTGGCAATGAGGTACATCAGAGGCATCCTTAGCGCAATAGCCACATAAAAAATTACTACATTTTACGTAACCCAAGTACTTGAAGCGCCTGGAGTGAGGGCAAGGCGAGGGTGATGGGGAGGGGGCGGATCGCAGGCCTTTGTGCCACAGTGCAAGAAGGGCAGAAATCTTCTCCCATGTTTGATCTCGCCACGACAGTGATACCATGTTGCCCACACACATTGGTGTCGTGGGCTGGCTGGACAAAGACCAGTGGCGGGAGGCACCAGCTGGGGGACCCCCAAGGGAAACCCGAGAGGAGGAAGGTTCTGAGCCAGGGAGTTTGTGGTGGGACACAGAGGAGCAGATTGGTGGGAGGAGATGTGGGGTGCTTAAGGGGCAGCAGGGTTTAGTGAGGGGGGAGAGCCAGTGACAGGGAGCAGTTCAGACGCAGAGGCTGAAGCAGATGAGGAACGTCAAGAGGCTGCTGAAATAAGGTTACCAGATTTTTTTTCAATGAATCCAGGGACTCTTTTCAAATTCAATGGATTTTGTATGGGGACTGATTTGTAAATCTGGGAAACGGGGACATCTGGTAACCTTATGCTGAAGAATCCAGGGAATGTCTCTCTCCTGCTGCAACAAACACCCCTCCCCGCTGTCAGGCTAATGAGGAGAGCACAACAGAGACCAGAGGTGCGCAGGTGCAGTTTGAGACTGCTTGGGAAACAGCCTGGAGGGGATGGGCATTAAGGGTGGTAGAAGGCAGGGACCCTTCTACCATTCTACCACCCTTGGAACATTGTCTGGATGAAGCTGCAGAATGGACGAGGGATAACAAACTGAGCTTGACTCCTGGTGAGATGGAGGGTGGTGGTTCCTGTGCCTGGGAGACTGGCCATTTACCTGCCCTGGATGGGGTTGCTCACCCTCTGAAAGAACAGGTTTGTAGTATGCGGCCGGAGGGCGGATTTTGGCAATATGGTGCCCCGAGCAAGGACAAAATTTGGCACCCCAGTCCCAAAGATTTTCACAATTATTCCTTTTGGTACAGTTGCTTTTTTTGATGCATCTTATCAGTAGGTACCCATATAAATAAAGGTTTTATTATTAACCACCTGCACCATGATGCAGCAATTTTGCCGCTTGAGGTTCAGGTAGACTTAGACACTTCAGGGGCAAGAAGTGTCTTTTATCAGCTACAGTTGGTGCTTCTTGGCCATTCTTGGAAAGGGTAGTGGTGGTGACTCAGGCACTGGTCACCTCAAGACTTGACTATTGCAATGCACTCTATGTGGGATTATATTGCACCTGGTCCAGAAGCTCCAGCAGGTGCCAAATGATTCAGCCAGTCCATTGATGGGGATAGGTTATCACTAGGAGCTGCTGGTGAAGGGTCAGTAATTAATCATTATCATCTTCACAAGTGCTTGAAAGCTTGCAGTGACCACCCATGCTATTGGGTCAGGTTCAAGTTTCTTGTATTCATTTTGCAAGGCCCTTAACAAGTTGGATCTAGGATATCTTAAGCGCTGATGGATCCCTGATATCCCTGCCTGATCACTGAGACATTTAGGGGAGTCTCAGTCGGTGGTCCCCCATAGCTCAAGTGCATTGCTCACAACTGAAATCATGATCTACATTGGCTCCTAGTACGTTTCCGAGCACAATTCAAAGCGTTGGTGCTGACCTTTAAAGCCCTAAACAGCCTCAGTCCAGTATACCTGAAGGAGCATCTCCACAGCCATCATTCTGCCCGGACACTGAGGTCCAGCTCCAAGGGCCTTCTGGTGGTTCCCTTGCTGCGAGAAGTCAAGTTATGGGTACCAGGCAAAGGGCCTTCTCGGTAGTGGCACCTGCCCTGTGGAACGCCCTCCCACCAGATGTCAAAGAGAAAAACAACTACCAGACTTTTAGAAGACATCTGAAGGCAGCCTTGTTTAGGGAAGCTTTTAAAGTTTAACAGACTATTGTATTTTAATATATTGTTGGAAGCCACCCAGAGTGGCTGGGGAAACCCAGCCAGATGGGTGGGGTATAAATAATAAATTATTATTATTATTATTATTATTATTATTATTATTATTATTATTATTATCATCATCATCTCCTCTGATGGTCCATTGCCTCTTCCTCTGGGGTCAGCCCTGGGTATTTTGCCATCTGAGATAAAGGAGAAGGTGGGACATAGGAAGTGGCCTTGTATAAGTCATTGTTCCATCTAGCCTATATAGTCTAACTGGCAACAGATCTCTGGAGGCCATTCTCAGCCATACCTGGAGATGTGAAGGTTTGACCCTGGGACCTTCTGCATTCAAAGAAGATGTTCTACCATGGAGTTACAGCCCTTCTCTAATTCCACACACACAAGCCTGGTTGAACTGGCTCTTAGGTCACTGGTGATGTAACCCAAGGACAGCAGATTAGTCTGTGGGCAGTCTGTTTGGCAAAGCTCTGTCTTCTCCATGCCTGCAGCCACAGCTGCCTGCAGTGGTAGCCTTACCCTGCCTTGCCCAGCTTTGCCTTTCTCCCATTGGTCTTGGCACCTGGCTCAATCCCTCCATTGTTTTGGTATCCTATGTCACCCAAATCGGGTGATGTAAAGGTTCTCCTCCCACAGAATCCATGCGCTCTCTGCAACTCCGGACTCTCCCACCATCCCAGCTGGGATAGGTAGTTCCCAACACACCCTTATTACACCGGTTTATACTTCTGCTAGCTTACAGAAAGGAACATGCTCTAACAGAACCTCTCATTTGCATCTGTGCTACTGCTAGTTACCATCTTGCTGACCTGGTTTGTCCTCTAGCGCACATCAATCAGAGTATACCTATATGTCACAAGATGCCAGGCTAGTAAGTGGTCCCACACATAACCCCTAAATCAAATAGAAAGGTAAAGGGACCCCTGACCATTAGGTCCAGTTGTGGCCGACTCTGGGGTTGCGGCGCTCATCTCGCTTTATTGGCCAAGGGAGCCGGCGTACAGCTTCCGGGTCATGTGGCCAGCATGACTAAGCCGCTTCTGGCGAACCAGAGCAGCGCATGGAAACGCCGTTTACCTTCCCGCCGGAGCGGTACCTATTTATCTACTTGTACTTTGACATGCTTTCAGACTGCTAGGTTGGCAGGAGCAGGGACCGAGCAACAGGAGCTCACCCCGTCGCAAGGATTCAAACCGCCAACCTTCTGATCGGCAAGTCCTAGGCTCTGTGGTTTAACCCACAGCGCCACCCATGTCCCCTAAATCAAACACATCAATACAAAATACTTAACAAACTGAGGTTCTGCCCCCCGCTTAACACAAACCCTGCCACCCTCCATAAATCCTGGCTATGCCCATGATTGCTCTGCTTTCATTTGAGCCACACTGGCAAGGCTGAGAGGGGGGGTCTTGTGTCATCTAGGCAGCCCAGGACCTCCACACACCCTGCCCAGGCTTGCACCCCAGGGAGGTCACTTTGGTGCTGCTAAGGCAGCGGTTTGACTTGACCCACAGAGGCTCACTCCATTGTCTCTTGAGACAGGCAGATGCCCAAAACAACCGCAACATAACTTGGATAGTTAAAATTCTCGTTCTAACCTAATTAATCTACTTGCTCCTTTGTTCTCAGAGAGGAGTTCCAGGGTGATTGCTTATCTTAAGGTCTGAGAGGAGGAGTAAGAGGAAGAAGCTGTAAACAGGATGCATCCGTCTAAACAACAGAGAGATAAAGAGAGAATACAGCATAGAGATAAAGCGACAGGGACAGTACAGTGGTACCTCGGGTTACATACACTTCAGGTTACATGCGCTTCAGGTCACACACTCCACTAAGCCAGAAATAGTGCTTCAGGTTAAGAACTTTGCTTCAGGATAAGAACAGAAATTGGGCTCCGGCGGCGCGGCGGCAGCAGGAGGACCCATTAGCTAAAGTGGTGCTTCAGGTTAAGAACAGTTTCAGGTTAAGTACGGACCTCTGGAACAAATTAAGTCCTTAACCCAAGGTACCACTGTATTGGAATCAGAGGTTCCTCACTGTGTCTTAACTCCATGAAAGCTTCTCTTCTGCAAGCTGAGTTGCACCTCAACTTCCAGCTCAATCTCTCTCTTTCTCTAGCTCACCCCCCCCTTACAGGCCCTGCTCTGCCCCCTCCCTTGGTGCTTTCGCTTCACTGGAATGTGTCCTTGAGTTGGGACTTATGCCAATGGCTTTCCTGGCTGAAGGATAATACTTATTTCATTTACGAATTGCTTGCCTTAAGGCACCTTGAAGAGATTTACAATGGTTGTGCAGATATAAATGTACAGTATATCTCTATCATCTATCTGTCTATCTCTCTAGCTCTCTATCTCTCTATCTATCTATCTTTCTATATGTGTAGAAACCTTTAACTCTTAAGTGGCTGGAATGTAGCCTACGGTAGAACATTCAGGGTCATAGCCATTGCTCTGCTGTATTTTGTCTCTGCTCCCCCCCCCCCCCAATCTCTGGCATGCGGCCTCTTGAAGGCTGCGAATGAGGAATGCGGCCCTTGAGTCAGAGAACAGTCCCTACCTCTGCTGTACAGCAAATCTCTGTTCCCAAGGACCAAGCAAG